ATACTTATAAGACCGTAGAAACAGTCACAAGTCAATTACAAGTTTACAATTAGATGGCAATCCAAAGCCAAACAGAAAGTAAATTCACAAGGATAGCTTAGCTAACCTCACACAAAAGTTGCTCTGCTTTTTTTAAAAAGACTGCCCTTCTCCAAGCACTGATTTTACTTGCCTCACCCTGAGTCTAGGGGAATCCAATAGAAAAATGTTTGATGTTCTCCAGACCTATCTGGACCTAACAATTGCATAATTTGCATGGCAATGGTAGGTAGGTAAATCTAGGGCAATTGTTTCACCTTATTTTATTGTGAAAAGAATTCAGATTTCTTGGGGCCAAATTCATTCATCTTAAGATAGGTGGGCTGTGTATGAAAATGCTTCTTCTACTTTACTGATCTTAAAAAATCTTTATAGTAACTATATCAGATGGAGATGGGTACACAGTTTGTAGATCCCACCTCCATGTATCTACAATGTGCATTAGTGGCGCTTGATTGTGCTAACACCAGAGTTTCAGTGTAGGATTCATCAGTCCTGCCGTGTTTTGAACTTCCAACAGGGGCAGGTCTGAACTATTCAAAGCTGGAGAGAGACTGTCAGCACATTAGCAGAGACGGGAAATCCACTTCAGACCAGCTCTACTGTGGTCCTGTAGGCCAAATGCCCATCAGCAGTGTGAGTGCCTTAGGTGCATGCCTGGAGTCCATCCTCAAGTTTTGTTTCATTTGAAAGGAATCCAGGTCGCAAAATCCAAGAGGGCTTTGCTATGCAAACAAAAATATATTAACTGCCCCTGACTGGATTTACTGGAAATATGCACTCCTGATCTGAATTAAAACACTAGTATAGATGTGCTTTTTTCAGAAGCAGGTATTACTTGTTTGGCATAATGTCCTGTTGACACCAAAGACCCCACATAGCAAGAACTGAGCACATTTGAAACTCCAATTTTGTACTTTGGAGAAGACTTCTTTGTATGGGCTGATTCCATAGAATAACTTTAAAAATAATAATAGCACAATAAGACTGATTCAAGACTTTCCACTGAATCTATACTCCACTTTCTTCCTGCAGGAATTATTGTACATTTTTTAATTAGTTATGCATTTGTTTTCTGTTCTAGTACAAGCAGTTATACTAACTAGTATTCCCCTCACCTTTGATGTTCATCTACTAATACTTCCCCTATGCAGAATCACTCATCTTCAGATAACATGCTGTAACATCAACCTATTGCTTCACCCCAGAATTTCCACTTTCCAGTAGCTGTGTTCTAGCTCTGAATGTTAAACAAGTGCATGCAGAGTTTATGTACTATTCACCATATGTGCAGCCACTTCTTGTGTTGCTGTCAATGGTTTTATTACTTTCCATCTTTACCTCAAGTGCTGAGCTCAATGACTAGGTCTGAAAGTGATAATTACTTCCTCTCTGCAGAGACAAACTGATTTGCATATTTATCAAGGGGAAACTGGATGGCTCTGAGCATACCACAGAAACATTTTCATATTTATAACCTGAAATGTAAAAAAACCCAAAAATTAAGATAGGAATGTCTTAGTCTAAGCTTGTTTTTATACGAAGGTTTTAGTCAGTGTATTTTGTAATGAGATCAGTGCATTAAAGAGTTAAGTATCTTTTTTCATCATGCAAAATCAGTGTAGAGATTAAAATGATTGTTAGCTTCTGCATGACGGTGTGGAGAAGTTGTAACATTAAGTATTTATAAGATGAAAATCTTAGCTTTTGATTCCTAAAGAGATGATGAACTGTGGAATTGCCTTCATTAAATCCTGTAGCAGGAAGAGGGTCCCAAAAGGTTTACTGTATAGTGGTTATATAGTTGAACAGCTTCAGTATCTTTTTGGGGGGGAAATATGGGCTTCCAGATACTTCTGCACATAAGGTTAATTTGTAGGAGTTTATGCATGTACTGAAAGTACTCCTGAATTGCCACTCACAGAGGTGACCCCCTTCAGCTGATTACGTTAGTTGTGATTCTGATTAATGATTCTACTCAAAGCCAAACATTAGTATTGGTAGGAAATTCTGAAAACACAAATAAAAATAATTCAAGAAAACTAAACAACAGCAACAAAACCCACAACGAACTACTGCTTCTAGGTAGAGATGTGATGGCTGATCTTCCCAGATCACTCTTTGTCCAGTAACTGTCTCAAGATTGCTGGAAGATTATGGATGAAACAGAGGGCTTTAAAAGTCTGTTGGCGTGGGGGGGGGAAATTGTATTTACAGGAATTCCCTTTATCATCAACTGCCTTGTTCTGCGACAGACCCTTAAGCCTCCTTCTGAATCCGATTCTTTCTGCAGATCTGGCAAACTACTTTAAAGCTTTCCTCAATATTTTGTCCTACACAGAGGTCTTCTGTATTCTGGGCTTTTTAATTCATAATTTTAGAAGACTGAATTATTTCAAATTAACACAAATAACATTTCAGTCCTATTGACTTCAAATGGCAGTAAAATAATTTATTAATTGAATGCATTTGCTCATGCACTTGCTTGACTAAACCTTTGGACAGTTTTCCAAATCACTAACACATTTGTAAACACAGTATTGTTTTTAACTTAATCCTAAAGTCTCTGTGAAATCTACAGAAATAATGAAAGTGGAGAGTTAAAAAAGTTAAATTGTTATAAGAAAACAGTAGAGGATGTATTTTGCCTACTTTGTAGTATTTGCTTCCAAAATTGGTGTAATATTGCATGTGAAAGGTATCTGTTCACAGAGGCCTACAATACATTCTTTGCATTTTTTCTTCTGTATTGGTTACCATTTAGAAATGCCAGTAAGTGAATGTGTCGCTTGTGTTAAGAGTGGCCACATCATTCAAATGCATTTTTATGGGGCTTATCACTTAGTAGCACACACTATATCGTTTATTTATAGTTTTCATTCTAGAAGGTGGCAGTGTTCAAGATGAAAATAGAAGTGGAAGTTCTGCTTCATTTCTGTGAGTGCATTTGTGGTTGCCATTCTCTGACAATAGTGTCATTTGAATTGTGACTATTAGTCCATCTGTACTGCAAAATGTTGTTGCTAAAATAAACTGTCATGTTAGCATTTGTTAATTGATGCTAATGTAACCAATCTTTTTTGTGTTTAAAAATCCAAATGAAGAAAATGGAAGTTTTACCACTGAGTTAGACAAGCTTTGTGTGAGACTTTCTGTGCATTTTTTTGGTTTTGTTTGTTGGTTGGTTGTTTTTTGACTGGTTTGGTGGTGGATTTTTTTGTTTGTTTGTTTGTTTTCTTGGTTTTTTTTTCTGAAATGGTAACATTCGAGTGCCAGAATTTATCTTTTTTTCAGGCCAAATCAAGCCAATCAACCTTGCTTCCAGAGGAAAAAGAAAAAAGTAATTATAATGATGACTATTTAATTATTTGTGATAGTGAGATATTTTTCATTGCTTTTCATTTTTCCTGAAATGATTAGGAAATCAAAATATCCATTATTGAATGACAGCAGATGTCTCTGAGATTATTTAATGTGATTTACTGAGCAGAATTCTCATTTTATTTTCATTTTGTTTTATATACAGGGTGAACTGTAAAATCCCTTTTCATCATGAAAAACTGCATGTAAATAAAAATATATTTGCGCCTGCCATTGCACATATATTTGCTTGTGCAATCCCATTTATTACTATAATCATAGAATCACAAAACCATAGATTGTTAGTTGTTGAAAGGGAATTCAGGAGGTCATGTGGTTGAATATCCACACATAATGCCCTAATTTATCTGCATACTCTACTTTTCTACAATCAGTGCAGCTTTTCCAAAGGATATGGTAATTACTTAGCAAGTACATTCTCCAGACAACCTCAGAGGCCAATTGGAAATTGCCTTTTTTCTTTTCTGGCACAATCACCCACTGCAGCAAGCCAGTGACTTGTCAGATGGATCTGCATGATTTTCCCTCAACCCACCAACTTTAAAACGTCAGCCTTTGTAACAGACTTTTCTCAGCTCGGTTGAGAAATTTCTACTCCCACAAGGTTTCAAAATTTACATAAACAAACCCTCCTGCTCTTACATTTCTTCTTTGCTCTTAGTTTACAAACAAGACCAACAGGTATTGCCTTCTTAACTGCTGATGTTCCTTTATTCATCACCCAGTCAATTGAGCTGATGAGAAATTAAAACAGTCAGCCTTTTTAAAAAGGCAGTTTTAGAATGCTATAACATTAAAAGACATGTAGAAATAGTAGCAATAAGGTAAGGTAATTACTCCTTATCCAAAAAAAAACAAAAGTGTATAGCAACAGAAATATGATCTGAAAATCTTTAAAGAAGACTCCGTATTTCAAAGTTCTTATCTCAGCCTTCTTGACACAATAATTTGGCGTCAGCTGATGAACTAATTTTTAGTCGAGCAAATCAAAATTAACACTGAAATTGGACTGACCTTGGATGTTTAAGTAAAAAGAGTAAAGATAAAATGGTTGTGAAGACAGAATTATCTTTATATGCTCTAAGATCCCTAAAGGACAAGGTTAAAGCTCATTTGCAGGCTGATGTGAAGTATATTCTTAAACCTTGATCATTTTCCAGGACCAATAATTTTAAATTCCACATGAAATTCACTATTAGCTCTATTCTGCATGCTGAGACTCTGAGATATCCTCGGCGGTTTGAATCTTCTTGCTAAGGGGTTTCCTTGATTGAGAGCAACTGCTTCCAAAGGTCACTGGCTCCCTGTGGATCAGCCTTTTTCTCTGATGTGCACAAATCCTCTTATTTTATGCTTCAACCCTGCAGCAATCGAACCATGGTCCTGATTGCAACAAGGTTTGCGCAATTGTCCCCTACTGTATGCTGCAAGAGGCCAATTGCTATGTATAATAGTATTTGTATGGAAAGTGATCTTAAAAAGGTGTAAGGACAAAAATATTTGTATGTGCCAAGGCTAATGAAAAAGCCAGTCAAAGACATTAAAGCTGTTTTCTCATTTTCTTATTTTTTTTTTCCTAGGGCAGATTCTGGATGTGCTGGACAAATATAATCTGAGTGATAAAACTCTCGTATACTTTACGTCTGACCAAGGGGCTCATGTGGAAGAAATCTCCAGTTCTGGAGAAGTCCATGGAGGATACAATGGCATATATAAAGGTGAACTTTCTCTGGTGATTCTTAAAATCTCTGTCAGAAACTATAATCTCCTTGTTTTCCCTCCAAAACTTTAACTTACTCTATGGCCAAGGTCAAAACTTGATTCCCTAATAGTAAACTTCTCATGACTGTCATTCCAAATTTCAAAAGTAGGTAGTAAATATAAGGGATTTACTTGTCAAATACAGCAGCTCAATCAGAGTACATAATCAGCCAGAGCTTTGTGGAGTTGTAACACTAGCAAATATACTCCTGAACTGGGCAGAAATATAGCTTTGGAAGGATGTCAGTTCATAGTACTTACTATAATGGCCGTATAGCAGAATAGAACAGAAAAAAGGGGGTTTGTGAGGCACCAGGAATCATAATTAGGAGTTAAATACCATGGAGTGAGTGGGATCACAGAAACAGAATATACAGAGAAGATGGGAGAACAGAGTGCATTATAGTCACTACAGAAAAAGTAGAAAAGGAAAGTTAGGTTAAAGAAAGAAAAAAGTCAGAGCTGGATTGAGTTTGGGATGGGCAACAACAGCCAGAAAAGGACAAGATTTCAAGCAGAAAATACTGAGAGAGTTTTGAAAATAGTGCATAACACACTGAATTGAGGGCTGATTTAGAAATGGAGAGACTTTAGTTAAAAGGACAGAGTTTAGTTGTATTCTTTTACTGAAGGGCTTGAGGAGATTAGTACAATAAAATCTGTTTATTCTGTGGAGACTTAAAATGCATTTAAAGTCTACCTTATTGTAGTGTACTTTCTCCTGGTGACATCATACAGCAGTAGTGAAAGGAATTGCTTTTGTTGCCATATGGTGATTTGTAAAACAGAAAAATTCCAGCTTAGCAAATAGCCATCCTCATTTTTTTCTATTCCTATATCTCTGGCATGGTGATTCCCTTCAGTCAGTGGGAATGTACCACATCATTGGATACGTTTGAGTGCATGGTTCCAACATGGGGATGAAAATAATTATTGTCAGCAATTTTTTTTCTTTTTCTTTTTTCTTTTTTTTTAAAGCAGACAAGAAGAGATAAGAGAATAAGCGAATGAAGGATGTAGAGATGGAAAAGTTCTGCTTGGTAGCATGACTATAACATTCAGTCAGTCTGGTCATAATCAAAGATTATGATTAGTCAGTCACAGACTGCTCATTGACCACATTATCAAATAGTAAATAAATGATTCCTTCTGACAAACTACAGAAAACAGTTTTCCAATGTGCAAGTAGTAGACACACAGCATTAGGAAAATGCATGTCAACGTGTTGTTAATAATCTCACTGTATCAGGGTAGGAATGCTTGTTTTTATTATTTTTAAGTAAATGTGATGAATATTCTTGTTGTTTTACCAGAGATAAAATTATTTTCATTCTTTCACCAAGAAGTGGCTACGTTCAGCCGGTTTTTCTTCTCTTCCCTTTGCTGAACTTCATGAGGTTCCTTTTGGCTCGTTTCTCCAGCCTGTCTAGGTCCCTCTGGATAGCAGCACCAATGGATCAGCCATTCCTCTTAGTTATGTAACATCTGAAAAACTGCAAAAAAGGAAGAAAAATAAACACAAACAATAACAATACAGTGAGGTTTTCAAGTGAGAAGACTCTACAGTTTTTAGTCAGTAGGTATCTGCCTGAGAAATGACCCTTGTGCTTTAAAAAAGCTGTGTGTGAAGGAAATGCTACACAAGCAAAATGAGCAACACCAGTCATCAGGTTCCAAACTATCAGATGGGTCCCCTTCAGCTAGCACCAGAGTGAAATGTATCTTGACTGTTAGCACATAGGCTTTACATAGTGATTTAAGTAATTAAGAAACCATATGGTTACATATCTGTAGCTGTAGGCACAGCCTGAGGGGTTTTAGAAGCTCTAAAAGATACTTGCCTTCTAGAATGCCAGACATAAGATACAGGATAAATGATGAGGTAGAAGAAGAAAAGACAAATGCACTGGGGAATATGTCTTCCTTAGGAACTTCATGGTTGAATTGAGCATTTTCTATCAAGCATTGCAAAATTTTTTATTCATGCTTGCAGAATGGAGAGCTATTTGAAATAAATCTGAATTAATAAAAAATCTGACTGATACAGTTATTTGGGGAGTGATTTTTAATATTAATTGTGCGGTTTGCAGTTACTACCTATGCTATGCTGGCAAATGTTGTACTATACTATGGGATAGAAAATAATCACTATATAAGAAACAGAAAAGAATATTGCATAGAGACATTCTTAATAAAATAGAAATAAATTAAAGATCAATGCAGTCATTTGAATATACTTCTGTCTTTTAAAAATACAATGAATTCTGCTTTATCTTCCACTCTTTCCATCTCCATATCAGTCCTCAATTTATCAAGTATGTTATGGATCATCTTTCATAGAATCATAGAATAGTTAGGGTTGGAAAGGACCTTAAGATCATCTAGTTCCAACCCACCTGCCATGGGCAGGGACATCTCACACTAAATCTTCAAAAGGGATGAAGTAGAAGTGATCAATCAATTGCATAATTAGCAAGACTTCATTCATATTAAAAGTCATGTACAATAAATAATGTTAGAGGTCTGTAGGTCTGTACATCTCTGCAAGATTTAATGGACATCAGACCTGTGAAGCCCTAGGTCTCCGCACTGATATAGCATTATGCCAAAAAAAAAAAAGCTGAAGATTTATCTTTATGCTGCTTGTGCTTCATGTGTGCAAGCACTAGGAGTTTGCATCATCTGATAAGCAGTTTACAAAGCTGTGAGATATGCACGTCTTTTTTTCTTCTACCAGAGATTGTCTCTGCTATACAACCTGCACTACTTATCTTTTTGCATGAGCACTGCATGAATGTGAATATGAATCAAGACACTTAACCCTCTTGTCTGAGCTGGAGCAGTATGCTCAGCAAAAATTGATTCTGCCCTAAAAACAAAAGCTCTCAAAAGATCTCCACAATTCAAACTCACTAATTTGTCTTGATATCCAGCCAAGTGAGCACCAATAATAAATTTTAAGAGGAGTTTGGAGAGTTAGGCTAGTGCTGCAAGACTGAATGCAGAATGGGGAAATTGCTTTTGAAGGTTTTATTACTTTGGGTTCTGACTGCAACAGTCACCATAAATTTGTATAGACCTTGAAATTAGAGACCAGAGCTAACATAGTGTTTAACTACTTGCTGCCATTTACATTTACAGTCTCTCTCTTCAATATCCTTTCCAGAAGACATTATATGGTAATATTGCAGTGGTGGATCAAAATCATGGCCTATGATTTCAATGTCCTTTTTCTGACAATTGTCAGGATACTTCCTTGGAGGAAGGTGCAGGAGCTGTGTAGTAAATAAAGAAGGTCCCTGAGAAGGTATTTTCCTAGTCCCAGATAGTATAACCTTGGTTTAAGTTGTGAAACCTGTCAATTTAGATTCTACAAAGAACTTTAGCATTAGTTATATAAATGCTAGGAAGATGAAATACCACTTTGAGTCTTTCTAAATTCTTAGCATAGCCTAAATAGTTTGGCAATGAAAGCACAGTGCTTTCATTTACTGTTTTGAAATGGGACTGTTGCAAATTTAATTGAACATCTTGAAGTTTAATACTGTTTCCTCATTGATATAGGATAAAGGAGGGAAAACTTATTATAACTTCCACATTTTACCTTTCTTTTATATACTTTTATTATGCCTCTTTCTCATTAAAACCTCATTCAGAAAAGAATTGTCTCCCCAGTCTCTCTCTTTAGTCTTAAGTGATGAGGGTTTTTTTGTCCCTAATTTCTCATTATTTTCTTCTTTGAACTCTTTCTAATTGCAAAATATAGTCTTTTAAAATGGTTTTGCAAGTATTGCCTTTCACATTTTGCCACTACCTGTTTGTATACTTACTTGTTAATATTATCCATCAGATCCTATAGATTGCCTATTGTCTTTGTATCTTACTAATTACAGATGTGCATTAAGCATTAGCCTTTGCATAGGTCCTTTTTCTTAAGTGTGTAGTGAATGTTATGGTATGAATAACTAAGGCCTATGGCCTTAGTTAGACTACTTAGAATAAGTAATTTTTATTCTGATGGTCATTTGTGCTGCAAATACTTTTATAGATTTTGAACCTGCATCTTGTTTCCTGTTCCATCCAGCTTGGGGTGAAGTCCATTGTCTTTTCTTCTGAATTTGATCAATGTGTCATACATGGAATTTTCAATTCCACAGCTCACTTCCCTTCCAAAATTGAAGTAAATATATTAAAATAGCAAGGGATGTAACACAGAGTAGCATCAAGGTACCTTAATATTAACTTTTTTGCATAGTGTCACAGGCTGTTGTTTTATCTCTTTGTTTCCTGTCTGTTAGTCAGATTTTGATTCATGACAACCTTTTGTCTCCTAACCCATGATTTATGTTCCTGAAGCTGTTTCTGAAGGTCCTTCTCAAAGATCTTTCAAAGTTTGAAATCTGGATACAGCCTCCAAACAAAAAAATAGTAGCTATTTCAGTAAGAATTTTTTCCCAATAGCTCAAGACTTTCTTATCTGAACTCCTGAAGGACTCCTGGGTACATATGTGATAATGCATTTTGCCTGGTTACTCAATATTTTGGTCAGTGATCAGAGAAAGAAACCTAGTAGTTCCTGTGGACTTAGTGGTCCTTTGAGTCATTTGGGCCAGTTATTTTCTTTGGAAACTTCAAGTTTATGATTCTTTTTTCTCTTTAAATCTTTGTTTCTATTTATTTTCCTGTCTATCTCTTTATCTTTCATATCAGGTAACTGAATGATTTTTAATATATTGTCATGTAAGTCACATTGCATGTATAATTTATAACCTCTAAGTTGTTTATAACATAAAAGTTGTTATGACTTATATAAATTAGTTTTCACCCTGTTAAAATTAACATTTTCAGATCAAAATATGGCAACTGTTGTGTTTAACTGAAGTCTCTTAAAACTTTCTAAGGTATTTTTCCAAGATTTGTTTGTTTGTTTGTTTTGTTTTCTGTGATATCTCTGTGTTGAAAGGTATGGAACTTTGGGGTATTTATTTTGAATGTGATATGCAGGATACCTGCACTGACTTCTTCTTATGTGTTTTTCACTTGCTTTCTCATTATTTTGACATCTGCAATTTAAGCATGTCCATTTGAGCTAGTCATCTTAGCTTTCCCTCAGGAACTAGCTACCTAAGGTTAGTTTTCCAAAATACTTTAGATCTCTGTTTTAGGATAAGATGAATAGAATACTTGCTTGATTGAATAAACACACTGTTTAAGATGGTCTTAAGGATGCCACTATATTCTTTTTGGTGTCCTGAGATATTGAATCTAATTATATTGTGGTAAGTTTTATTTAGTTGCTTAATTACTTATTTAATGAATAAGTTTTATAAAATTGTGCTATAAAATGCGTCTCTTCCATTCCGTACTTTATAGCAGTAAACAGAAAAGGCATTAAAATCTTTTCTCCATACCTTTTATCATTATACTATTCCACTGGTACATATTCAAACAGTGGAAATTGTCCCTCATTGTCAGTAATTGACATTTATTCCACTCTGTTACATGTGGGATTTTCTATGGAGTCTCCTTGTATCTCTTAATACTCTGTCAGCTTCTTTTTGATGTGTATCTAAATATAATCTGCTGTACCTAGGACCTGCATATTAGAAAAATTGTCTTTCTTTGTACTTGTGGAGCATTTAACACAATGAATACAGGCACTTGATTACTGTCATGCTGCTAGAGTGGGTCATGAATCTGCTAATGGAGTCAAACACTGATAATGGTAAACCATTTGTACAACATTCATTCAAAGTGCTTTGTGCCTTAAAAATAGGTATATTCATAGATACTTTGTTAATATCCATGAAAAATAATAATGAATGTGTCTAACGGACTTAGACTCTGATTTTTACATCTATTACAGATCTGTGAGTGCTAAACAAGGACTGCAAGAATCAACTATTCAATATTTTATTGAAGCTTATTATTTTTATATAATTTCATATACTGCAGTAATAAGTTCATTCATCGGTGTTTCTTGAAGCTAGTAGTAAACCTTTTCCTATCTGTAAGTCACAGAATAATCAAGCTGACCATTACTCTGGCCTCAGGAACTCTGCTATTGCGTATTTAGTGATATTAGTTGGAGTTTCCTCTTTGATTGTAATGAGAGCTGGAATTGAGCTTTTATATTTTCTCTGAAGCAATCCAGATTTTTATATAATCAACCCGTCTTGTAATTTTAACTGAAAGAGAAAATATCTTTAGAAACCCTCTCATTTGATTGGAAGACAGGTCAGATTCATTCAAATGAGCTATATCTGTTGCGTTCACCTGTACAAGAACAGCTCAAGTTGAAAATTAACAAAGGTATATAAACCAGATTAAAAATCAGTGAAATAGTAAACTTGCTACTGAAAAGATATTGCTGTTTGATCATTTACTAAAGTAACGAGTAGTAGCATGAAATCCACTACAGGTGGGTAGAATAATTAATTTCCTTGCATTTTTCTATAATTCAAGAGAATTAATTGGGTTTGGAAGCTTTGTTTTTAGAAGAATATAAGAAGGACAGAAAGGGCAGTATGGTTATAACCCAAATGATCTAAGCGAGTTATTTTAAATAGTTTTCATCATTCATTATTCAAAATATTAATAGTGATATACCACAGAGTTCCCCATTTATATATCATCTTTTGTAAAAGCTCTGTTCCCAGAGTTCAGTAATAGCAGTCAGTTTAAACCAGAGGGAGAAAAAAAGAAATATTCTCATAGCTAAGATTTAAAATGAGGTTAAAATGGAAATTTGGCATCGTGTTGTGGATGACTGCAAAGAGTTATGTCTGTACTTAGTCTGCTCCTGCAGATTTTTCAGGAAAGGTAAATGTAGGCTATTGTTCAATATAGCACTGAAGGGTGCAGCTACTCAGAAAGCATAGATAGCTAAGCATGAAAATACAGCCTGGGGTGTTTTATGCTGTTTTAAAAATATTTTTTGAAGAATTTAAAAGAAAAATAATATATAGCTAGGCTGCCTAGAGTTTGCTGGGCATAAAGACTACTAGGTTGCTGTCTTTTCTCTGTTTCAGTGTTGCCAAGTTCAAGCAGAATGTAAAACTAATGAGTTTTATTATTTTAAAATAATGACCTACTGTGATTTTTTTTATTTTACTTCTAATATTTTATCTATTTGGATGTTTGATTTATGTTTCAAGCATTAGTAGTGAACCCTTGGTGTTTTTTTTTTTAAAGAAAAAAGAATGTAGCTAGCTTGAACAACATTTAACGGCTAGAGTTGTAAAGACAATGTATATCAAGGGATTTGTAATCATATCATAGCATTAAGCAACTCCAGTGATGTCAGTAAAACTAGTTCTAATGAAGATGAACACCATGTAGGCACAGATAATAGAAGACAGTCTTCCGCAATGGACCTGTAATTCCTGCCCTGGTTCCTTGCTATTCCTAACCTCCAGAGATATAAAAAAATTATGCTCCAATTAGTCTTTTGATAGGAAAACAGCAGTCACTTCTCCATGGACATAAGTGAGGAGATAGCCCTGCTGTGGAGTCCATTTTGCTTTTTGTATCTCACAGCAGGGAGGCTGAGTTTGCTGAGTGCACCCTTTGTGCTTGGGTAATGTGCAAGTTTTTGTCCTGTTCTGTAATGACTCAAGAAAATTGGGCTGTGAACCTAGGAGCTGTGAAAGTGATCCAATATCTAGGTTTTAAGAATTTCAACGTGTGGGAATAGAATTCCACTTATCTCGAAATTACTCTGTCTTCAGATTACACAGAATGCAACAATAAAACAAGAATTTATTTAAACAATCCAGTCTATCTAGCACTGTCACTAGGTTCAGACAGGTATAGAGAAATAAAGGAAACCTTGCACTAAAAGCTACCTATGGTATAGATCAGCTGAGTTTTCTGTCTGTCCATACTGTCCATCCAACAAGCTGCTGTGATGTGTACACAGAACTAGGATCCATCTCATGAACTAAATCATCTCCCGAGCATAGCTATTCACTGAAAATATCTTAATTTGTGGATACCTGTAATTTTATGTCCTTTTACTTTTCACAGAATCCCAGAATCCCAAGGGTTGGAAGGCCCTCAAAAGATCATCTAGTCCACCCCCCCGCAAGAGCAGCGTAACCTAGAGTACATCACACAGGAACTTGTCCAGGCAGGCCTTGAATATCTCCAATGTAGGAGACTCCACAACCCCCCTGGGCAACCTGTTCCAGTGCTCTGTCACTCTCACAGTAAAGAAATTTTTCCTGGTGTTCACATGGAACCTCCTATGCTCCAGTTTACACCCATTGGCCCTTGTCCTATCACTGGACATCACTGGAAAAAACCTAGCTCCATCATCCTGACACTCACCCTTTACATATTTGTAAACATTGATGAGGTCACCCCTCAGTCTCCTCTTCTCCAAGCTAAAGAGTCCCAGCTTCCTCAGCCTCTCCTCATAAGGGAGATGTTCCATTCCCTTAATCATCTTTGTGGCTCTGCGCTGCACTCTTTCAAGCAATTCCCTGTCCTTCTTGAACTTCGGGCCCCCCCTTCTCGGTAGGATTTTCTGTGAACCATAGTTCTGTCAGGATATTAATCTTAACACTTTCCTGCTAAGTCACACATAATCTTCACCAGAGTTTTAAAAACCTAATGACTGTTGTACGTGGGTAGAGCCATCTTTTCTACAATTCATTGACATCTACCCTGGTCTCAGCTGAATTAACAACCAATCATCGTACTGTTGGGTGAACACTTCTTTCTCCTGGGTGACAGGTGTTTTAAACCTCACCAAGCAACACATTAATAAACATAAATATACATTTTCTTTAGATTTTTCAGAATTTTCTACGACAGTGTAAACAAAAATAATGCAAGTATCTCTTTCCTGAGCTTTAGGATAGGAAACCACATGCTTTATCGTGAGAATGGAATTGCATCTGGCGCAGTAACAAGAGTAAATTTTTCAGGCTGCTCTAAAAGACAGATAGTTGTGCTGAGCTCTGAACTTGGCACTGCTTTCCAAAACCAACTAAAGCACAGATTGTTGCTTGATGTAATGTTGGATATTAGAAAGTCTAAGTTTTCTGATTTTGGACTAGGTAATTACATGTCCATGACTATTCAATATTATGAATTCTGATAAAGCCCATGAAAAAAGTAACCAAAAAATTTGTATTACAAAGAATCATGAGCTAAAGATTTTTCAGCCGCAAGACTGTGTGACCGTGTGTCTATATATATATATATGTGTGTATATTTATATATAGGATACAGATCTATGTCTATATATATCTTATCTTTATAGCTTATATCTTTAAAATATCTTATATCTTCTCTGGGTTCATACCTCAGACATATAGGCATACCTCAATTTATTTTCAGTTCCTGTTTTTTGGTTATACCTTCATGTAGCTATGCGTCACACTAAGCAAAGTTCTATCTTTAGATGCCTGCAAGGTGCCTTTTTATCTCCTACATCTGTTACTTAGTTTTGTTTGTAAATTAAACACATTTTATAAGCTCTAATATATATTAGTAGATTTACTATGAGAAAAATAATGATTGTATGTGGAAAATCTAAACCTAGCAAATTGAAAATGAGGTAAAGCATTTGATGAAAAGATTCTAGACAGACAGAATGCTTAATATTTGGAAATTGAATCTTATGGGTGGCTATTTTTTGAGAAGAAATTGATTTCTTAGCAAACAAAACTTACGTTTTTCAGGTGGAAAAGCAACGAACTGGGAAGGAGGTATTCGTGTACCAGGGCTTCTTCGTTGGCCTGGAATGATACAGGCTGGTGCCTATCTTGATGAACCAACAAGTAACATGGATATATTTCCTACTGTAGTCAAACTTGCTGAAGCACAATTACCCTCCAACAGGTATGCTCTGTAGTCATCTTTGTTTTGAAGTCTCATGAGTGTTTTATACATTCTGGTGATGTCTATTAAGGTAGAGGTAGAAAGGAAAAGAAAAAAATAGAGCTTAAAAGCACTTCTTTGTGATCACTTACAGTAGTATGCTGTCTCTTTTAAGATCAATATACTTAAAGATTTTGCAGAAACATGATATGTAAATACAGCTTAACTTGCATAACAAGCATCAAGCAAAAAGAAGAGAATACAGTTGTTGTGGTTTAAACCCAGCCGGTAACTCAGTGCCATGCAGCTGTTCTTTCACGCCCTGCCTTATCCTCTTCCCAGGTGGGATGGGGAGGAGAACTGAAAGAATGTAAACCCTGCCACTGAGATAAGAAACCAGGTTTGCCTGGGTAACTATCATCAGGTAGATTCCATACATGCCAACCGCATCCCATCCTGGAAGTAGCAGCTGCATTTTAACCTAAGGTTTCCTTAGGGTTATAATATAACTGTGGGAGTGGGGTGAGGTGGTCTAATTTACCCCATTTTCCCACACCCCTCCCACCCCTCCAAGTTTATATACTGGGCATGATGTGCTGCGGTATTGAATACCCCTTTGGCTAGCTTGGGTCAGGTGTCCTGTCTCTGATCCTTCCTGTCTTCTTGTGCCCCTTCTCACTGGCAGACAATGAGGCTGAAAAATCCTTAATCAGGGTAAGTGCTACTTAGCAGCAACTAAAACATGGCTGTGTTAACAGCATTGTTCTCAGGCTAAAGCCAAAATACAGCAGTGTCAGCTACTAAAAGGAAGTTGACTCCATCCCAGCCAAAACCAGAACAAGCACCAAGAGCAGCATACTGTCAAATCAGGCCTTAGAATTATTTCCTAAAATCAAAAATGAATGTATAAAAAAATTCTATGTTTTGCATGAGTGAATGTGGTAGGAAAGGAACTGCAAGTGTAAATTGAACTTTACGAGGTCAACCTTGGCCTGCTTAGTATAACAAAATGCATCAAAATGCCAGCTAGGTTTTTTTCACAGTTTTGGTTTTTTTTTATTCTCTACTGAAATTAGTGAAAAAATTCCTTACAGAGTTTTAAAGCCTGATAAGAAAACTGGACTTCTAAAATTCATAAGATGCTTTATTGGCACTCCAGCATACCTGTGTTTTGTCTTTTTCAGAAGATACCCAGTCTCAGCAGCAAGCTGCCTCCACCAAAAGTCTCTTGCCATCCAAATCCAATAAATAGGGAAACCTGCTGATATGCATATGCTTTGAAAACATCTACCACATACAAACAGCTTCTGAGCACAAGGCATCCAGAATCCCTGTGGGGAAAACCAGTGGTGAGCAGAGACACTCTGCTAATGATGATTCATTTAATGCTTGAAGGAAATGTCAGGGCAGGACATGTGTAAGACATGAAAAATTAGTCAGGCTGGTCTTGAGAGATGCCCTACAAGAAGTAACTCTGTTAAGCATTTCAGATTGTTTTTAATGGGGGCAGATCTTATGCACTTTGTGTTCATATCGCTTGAGTGAAAAACAAGTACAGATGTTTTATTTTGTTCTCTGACAGAAATCACAATATACTTGTGTACCTTCCCCTTGCAAGTTGCTCTATTCTGATTCTTCTGTGTAGACTAGATGCCATAATTACTGCTTCATTGGTTGGTCAGGAAGAAAAGTCTCCCATACTGTCTGAAACCAGCAGTTGTGGGAATGCAAGAGTACTGGAGACATCCTTTTCCCTATCAACATGCTGAAGAGCAGAAAGTGTACAATTGGCATGCATCTGTCCTGCTCCCAGCTTGACAGGGAGCAAGCCAAGGGACAAAACAAAAGTGCATTACTCAGGCAAGAAAACACAACAGATGGAAAATGAGAAAGAATCTAATTCAACAGACTCCCACAGACAGGGATGCACCCAGAAAGCAGTTATTGGACAGCATAGCTTTAAAACGTTCAGGACGTTTTCCTGACCGTCCTTTCAGAAGTGTCTTTGCATACAGTTGATGCCAAGAATTTTATACATATGATAGGCTTAAAAAAGTGAAGTTAGTACCCATGATGTAGTAGTTACACTAATGTGAAAAGGGTTTTACACAGTAATGAAAATTAACAGAGACATTATTGAACTTTGAAAAAAGTTTCAAAAAAGTTTTTGTGAGAAGTTGCTCAAAATGCTTAAAAGAATTAACTGCTGAACTGTATGTCAGTAAAAATAATTTCTTATAGAACTTCTTGTAACATTTGTAACTCACACAGGTCTAAAGTACAGATTGTGATTTATTCCTTGCCGGCTGCTTTCGGCAATTCAAAGGCTTTTCTGTGTTTGAAAAACACGTATTTAGACATAGTTCATTTCCAACTTCAAAATTACTTCTGTTTCAAATCCTGGCATACATAATTTGCTGGACAGAGTTCTTACCATTACTTCTGGGGATGCTAACGCAATATAGCATGTTTTTCTCTTGTCTTAGGGTTACTTTGGCCAAATAAGTCCCAAGCAGTTTTAGCAGGTATACATGAATGGCTGTTTTGTCACAATTTATTCATGAATGTGTGGTCATTTTCTCAGAAAAAAAAAAAAAAGTGAAGAAAAAAAGATAAAAATTTGTTGAGGAAACAAACTTGCTTAATGGCAAAATGTAAAATTTACATTAAATAATATAAAGAAACAAAGGGAAAGAGCACCTGAAGGTTTTTCTCCAAATTGACCAACTGGAGGTGGCTATTCATATTTATTTTTTCAAGTAATGGAAATGCAGAAATATGAAATCTTTTCCGTAAAGTGAGGTTTGGGTTAATCTTCTGACTTTGAAATGCTTTCTTACTCAGAATTATTGATGGACATGATCTGATGCCCTTACTTCAAGGAAAAGTGACCCAATCCAACCATGAATTTCTCTTCCATTACTGCAATGCATATTTAAATGCAGTGCGCTGGCATCCAAGAAACAGTAAGTAAACTTGCTTGTTCACATTTTAAATATTTAATTGAATTTTTATTGCAGCTTGAAAAGCATCAGGAAAAAGCCTTAGGCTATATTAACAAAAATTTATTTAAAATATCTAACCTTTTAAGTTCTTTTCCATTTTTCTTTTTGCTAGAACACCCCTATTCACCATTTTAACATTTAACATTAGTTTTTTGCTATTCATTAATGTTGCATATCAATACAATACTGAGATCTATGGTGTCTGAAACTAATTTTGCCTGAAAGACAGTCTGTGTTATAGAATTAAGTAGTCACGGTTAACTGTTATATCTTCCTAAAAATATTATTGCTAAATAACAACACAAGTATGATGACAGAATGGCCATTTTTATTACTGGAATTGCAAAGTATAGGAGAATCATTGAGTCAAAGTCATAATTATCCAATAAATGAATACAGTATTATAGGGTCTCTTTTCATGCTTTTTATGAACAGTATAATTCCACTTCTAGGCCAAGGAAAAGGCATTTCCCATTGATTTGCTTCTTTTTAACTGACAACTTGCTGTTTCTGGTATTAAATTCCATATTAACAAATGTATATTTTCCTTTCTGTAAATCTCTTGCCAAATCAAGTCAAATACACATTTGGCTCATCCCAGTTTACAGTCAAAATGACAGCTTGTGTTACAGCTTCAGAATGATGGTCCAAGACAAGCTTTGATGTAACATTTTAGGACAGTGATAGGACATTTTAGTGTAGTGACAGGACAAGGAGGAATGTCTTTAAACTGAAAGAGGGTTGATTTAGGTAGGTCAGATATTGGGAAGAAGTTCTTTAGTGTGAGAGTGGTGAGGCACTGGAACAGGTTGCAGAGTGAGACTGTTGCTGCCCCATCCCTGGAACTGTTCAAGGCCAGGTTGGACAGGGCTTTGAGCAACCTGGTCTAGTGCAAGGTGTCCCTGCCCATGGCAGGGGGGTTGGAACTAGATGATCTTTGAAGTCCCTCCCAACCCAAACCATTCTGTGATTCCGTGATTTTTTTTGTTTGTTTATGTACCTTGGGAAAGGACTTGCTTAATAATGGACAAACTTAAAATAAGTTGGAAACTTTGTCTTCTATGTCATCTGTAGGCTGACTCTTTACCTGACTCTTTTACTTTAAACTAGGCAAAGTGAAAATATTGCCTATAAAATTTTGTTACTGCTTCTTTGCCCACATATCTTGATTTCAAGAAATAGTTATAAGAAAGAACCACGCAATGAAGATGTGTTTATCTAATATCATTTTGTATCTAAGGTTGGATGAAATTATTCTGCCTTATGATGGGAAGTAGGCAGACCCCCAGTCAGGCAGAGAAGCTTTTTATCTCAAAAACACGCCTTTGCAAGATGAAGTACCCCTTTTCTGAGGAAAGGCTCAGCTTTGTTATTGTTGAAGGATATGGGCAATGAAGGGAAGCAATGATGGGGGACTAGTATGTTGTACTTACATGAGGGGCAACAATGTAGACTGTTTCTCCCTTTATCCTTTCCCCAAGGCAATCAAAAGACAAAGTCCAGTCAGCACCTGGCAATAACATTTTCATAACACTGATGTGACTTTTGTATGGAAGGTTGTCATGGTCTAACCCCAGCTAGCAACTAAGCACCACACAGCTGCTCGCTCACTCACTCCTAGTGGAACAGGGAAGAGAATCAGAAGGGTAAAAGTGAGAAAATTTGTGGGTTTCAACAGTTTAACAGGTAAAGCAAAAGCCACTCACACAAGCAAAGCAAAACAAGAAATTTATTCTGCTTCCCATGGGTAGGCAGGTGTACGGCCATCTTCAGGAAAGCATCATATGTGACAGTTACTTGGGAAGACAAATGCCATCACTCCAAACGAACCACTCTCATTCTTTTTCCCCCAGCTTTAAATGCTGAGTATGATGCCATACAGTATGAATATCCCCTGAGTCAGCTGGGGTCAGCTCTTGTGGCCGTGTCCCTTCCCAGCTCCTTGTGCACCCCCAGCCTGCTTGTTGTGGGGGTGGTGTGAGAAGCAGAAAAGGTCTTGACTCTGTGTAAGCACTGCTCAGTTGCAGCTAAAACAGCCCTGTGCTATCAACAGTGTTTCCAGCACAAATCCAATACACAGCCCCACACTAGCTTCTGTGAAGAAAAGTAACTCTATCCCAGTCAAAACCAGCACAAAGCAGTTTTGATATACTACCTTGTCAGCCTACAGTGTAGTGTGAGAGCAGGCAATAGTTGAATACTCCTCTCTACTCTCTTTTGTACAGGTCTGAGAGTGCTTCTTTCTTTCTTACTTGTTCGATCTCAGATCTTCAAAATTCCTTTTCCATGTAGACAATGCAACCATATTTGTAAAGATATTTGTTGCAGTCAGCTAAATGTTTGCCCATTTATCTCTCTCCCATGTGTTATTCTTGTATAGAGATAAATATGGTTGCATTACAGCTGTACGCACCTGATGCTATCTGCATTGCTGTGGGTACTCATGTGGAAAAATGAGTATGGTTGTTTTTTCTTCTGATATCTCAGCAGCTCTATATGAAGCAACTGATAATAAGTGCCATATATTTCTAGAGTATTTTTGTCTTCTAGCCTCCCATCACAGCTCTCCCTTTACAGATAATCTCAGAGTCTATCCACAGTCACTATTTCTTATACTGTTAAGTGATATTATACTAAGTGAAAATGGACACAGGTAAAGCATAAATATAATGTAATGCTCTCTACACACCCTCCACCCCTTTTTTTCTTTTTTTTTTTTTTTTCCTGGAAAAGCAATTATTTCAAACATTTAATTCAAAATATTGCAGAGCTTTTGCCTAGCAGCAAAGAACTAAACTAGAAGGATCCTATAGCAACAGTTCATTCCCTATACTTAGGAATACATTCAAGAAAGTTAATGAGGCCATGTTCATTAAAGACAGACTAGAAAACTGGAAAATTATGCAACTTTACCTCAGCATGCTACTATTATCAGTTACAAGATTGTAAGTCTTCAGGGTTTGATCATCTTTTCTAACTGTACATGTATTCCATGTCTAACACAATTTATGGCCTAAATATTTACCCCGTTCCTCCATGAGCACACACATTTTCCAGTATCCAGAAATGATTGTAAGATCTCTTATGTTTTAGTTGCACCTTGCCAATAGTCAAGGCAAGTCAATAGGCAAATAACAATTCAGAGAAGACCTCGACATACAGATAATTATCTTAAGCATAGTCTTGAAAAGGTGATACTCCTTATCTAAGAAAAATAATGAAATTCTTGACAAAAAATTTCATCAAGGAACAATTGTCTTTTCCTGTGTACTGTAAATGATCTTTCAAACGAGAAAAGACTTGTGTTGTTCTTTATCTGTGTTCCCCAGATAGTTAACTAGGTTGACCACAGCTACTTTGGAACTGTGTAAACACACTGCCTGCAGATTATACCTGATGTACAGGCCAAAGCTGACCAGCTCTGCCTCCCACTAGACCTGGGGCTTAGCAGAAGAAATTGCCCTAGTGTGAAATCCCAGCCATATATAGTATCTTCTGTACAGTTCTGGTGATGGGCACTTACAAGAAGGACCCAATTGTCCAACTAGTCTGAGACTACATTTTATAAATTTAAAGTTGCACCTTTTGAAGAAAAAAGCAGCAATCAACAGAAATTCATAGAAGAAAAGGCTTCCAACTGTTAAGGAAAAAAATATGCGTTTATGTGCTTATTTAACTAAAGTACAATCCGTTCTAAATAAAGGGTAAAAGTGCATATACTGGATAAGTGCACTTATTAATGCATATATTCTCATATTTCTTGCTATATTTATTTTATGGGAAGTCTTAGTTTGTGTGTCAGCTTCAGTTTGCATATTCCACTTTTTTCTTAGACAGGAAAAATGTATGTACCAGGGGGTGAGAGGGAAGAAAAAGTACTGCTTAGCCATTTGGTCCCTTGTTGACTCCAGCACTTCAGAGTTCCTTTAGTAACTTTGTCTTTGCCATTGCTAGATTACCACCGTGTTTCAGTCCAAAAAACTTTTTTGGGTTTAATTTTTTGACTCTTAGGCTACATATATAAGAGCGCATAGCGTGCATTAAATTCATAGTACTTCCATACCTTTCCCCTGCTTACAAGCTTCTAGAGTCTGACTTAAGCAGGGGTGATTCTCACATCATTCAGGGAAGGTCGGTATCTCATAGTGAACAATTACCATTTTAAATTTATATATAGAGGCTAAGCATTTCTCATAATCACATCAATACATATCTTCATTAGACATATTATTTAGGTCAGTTATTGCATTCACAATAAACTTTCCCTTTCATCAGCCATTAGAAGGAGCATTTAAAGGATATGTGCTATGCAATGCTCTTTTCAAGTAACCTGTCAAAATTTAAGCCTTATCTTTTCTAGAGAGGCATAAGGAGAAGAATGTTTTTCTTCTACTTTCCACTTCTTCATCAGCCACAGAAAATAAGATACACCATTTTTTTTCTGCTTCCCTTACATTTTTTGCATTAAAAAAAAAAAAATACTCATTATTCTTCACATTCTGAATTAAAGAAGGAATGAGTTATCAGGCAGTTTTCTTTGCTTGTGATTCATGTCTTGCTCTCAGACTTGTACCTGCTGACACTCAGTATCAGTGCCTTAGAAACAGCCAAGGCACACAGTCCTAGGCCTTAGAGGATGATTTTCTGTAATTTTGAAACCTTATAAACATATTTAATTTAATTGCTTTGTTAAAAATAGAGAGCAAGACATGCTAAAACAGCGTCAGCAAAGTACTGTGATCGCCCATTATCAATGCTTATTCTCTGTGGCTGCTTATATGCTCCGTGTACCATATGCGTACCAACATAAAAAAGCAACACCTCTGGAAAAAACTGCAAACTTCTTTCTGCCTAGTAAGGTGTAATAATTTAGGGAGTTTTATTCATTAAACATTTACATTTAAAACAAAGCAGCTGAAGGATCTGCTTTTACTTTCTTGAGCTGAGCCACCCAAACTTTT